GATTAGATTAAGCCGGACTAATCAAACCGACGAGGAAATTGATGTCCGCTGGCTAGCCTAATTTCCATCGGTGCAAAGAGAGCGTCGCCTCGTCGATGTTACGGCGTCGCTGAACTCACGTTTGCAGAGCCGCGGTTCATTGAAATTTCAATCTAGCCGGATCAAAGCCCGCGTCCAGCAACCGTGCAACCTCTCGACAAGCTAGCTGTCCTTTTTTTTTTCTCTCTGTTCGCTTTATTGCAGTGGTCGCCCAATACTTTGAAGTTCAGGTTTACGATCAATTCGCGATTCGCGGCAACGCGGCGATTTTCAAGTGTCAAGTTCCCTCGTTCGTCGCCGACCACGTGGACGTGGTAGGATGGATCGATTCGAACGGCGGCAGTTACGTGGCCGATGGACAATCATACGGTATCCAATCCAGCATGGAGCACGGATAGAAATATTTCCTACACGCGAACTATAATTTCCATACGCTATGGCAACGCTAGAGGCACCCATCGATTTCTTCGTTCGCCGCTGCGACGGGCGTTCGTTTCTTCGATTTCTACCTGCTCGAGGGATTAATCGCGATTCAAATGGAAATTAAACCCTTTTGCAATGGAATGATCAAAAAAAGTAAACCCGCTGCAGCGAAAGAGTTAATTCGTCGCTGGCCTAAATAGTCGGCGATTGACTCGGTACGGCTTCGATTCGGAGTTTATCGACCCTATCGAACGACCGAGTCGTCGTTTTTTTTTTTTCTCCTCTGTCGCGATTGAATCGCGGGAATTTTCGAACGCTCGTCGCCGCGGCGATCGATCGCAACACCGCGGATACGAGGCTGTATGTTGATGTGCGGCTTATGGTAAAACCGGAAACCGGTGTCTGGTTGCAGTTGTCGGGCAGCGGTATGCAGTGAACGTGATGGACGAACACGTCCTTCGGGGGAACGCCGCAATTATCAAGTGTCACATACCGAGCTTCGTCGCCGAATTCGTCGAGGTTGATTCTTGGATCGAAGACGAGACCACTGAAATTTATCCTAGCACCGACTACGGTACACACGTACACGCACTAAGTGCACGAGAAAGGATTTAAAAATGAAAAAAAAAAAGAAAAGAAAGAAAGGAGTATAAATGGAACGATTTGCTCTGTTTTCATCCAGGCTCTTTTTCTTTATCGCGGTCAAATTGTCGACGAGGCGCGACGTTTTTATCCTTCGTTGTTCAGTCAGAGAACGCGTGGAAACGGACAGCTATGCGATTTTCTTTTCCTCGTTCGTAGAGACGAGCGTTTCCCTTCGGGCAACGTCCAATAACGAGCGATATCCTCGGCAATCTTGCGTTACGTTCCGGCAGAGATCGCGACGAAAGGAAGCACGCAACAGGTACGATCGTCATTGTGCATCGCGATCGCGAGAGTAGCCGGGGAAACGGAAATTGGCGAGTGCGTGTAGGATGCGGTAAATTACGAGGGAAGAAACAGCAAGCAGGATATCGAGACTCGTTGAACAAAAGAGTTGTTCCTCCGGAGCGTATACGTTCCATCGGCCTGCGATTCGCGAGTCTCGATCACTGAAGGATGTACTGAAGGTTTGGCGTTTCAGATGAGACCGTTCGAAAGCCCGGATGCCCCTCGTTTCGAAAAATAATATATTCTTCAATTGTTCGTACGACGTTGACTGCCGCTGCTCGCGCTGTCCCAGACTTCCTATCCTTTTCCGTGATTGTTTTCATCGTTCCAACTCTTCTCGAACCTCTTTCTTTTTCTCTGTCGTTTGCTTTTGTATGCATGTTGATTAGAGATGGGATCAGGTTCGATAATTTAAATAACGTCCCCAGTGATTATATTTAAAAAATTCAAATCAATCTCATCTTGGGAGTCTACCCAAAACATCACTCCCCTTTTTAAAAATATTCATGAATTATTCAAAACTACCAGTCAGATCCAAACCTATTTGTAATGTACTCGGATCCCATCTTTAACGTTGATAGCGCTTGTAGTCGTTGTTTTGCTGCATGCATCGAGCTGGTTCGTCGGTTATTTTGTAACCGGAAGAAGTCATCCGGAGGAATGCAACGTGAGCCGATTGCCAATTTTAACGTACTTATAGGAAGAGATCGGTTACAGAATAAATTCTTGCTACTCTTAATACCTTCGAGTCTTCGTCAGTTCATTCACAATTATTTCTCATAATCTAATCGCAAAAGGATTAAAGAGGGAATATCGTGGATCACAATGGTCTCTCCAAACAGAATATATTCTACAATGATTTTTACTCTAACGTTTTCACGGACATCTCTGGAGGAACAATGCACAAACTCGATATTCCCTCGATCTGATGTTTGACGAGCCAGCTTGAATTCCCAAACGATTCGTCGAACGATGAAAGCACGAGATAGATAAAGAGTCCGTGGCTATTCAACGTTCAACGAACTTGGCCAAGGTAGTAAAAGGTAATGGAGTGCATGCGGGCCAATGTATTAATCAAGACGGCATTGTACTCGTCTATATGCACACGGCCACGTGTGCATCGAGGACGTGTACCGTGCGGTCGTCGGGATAATTGAATATTTCTCTGATTGCCAAAGCCAGATCGGTTACGAACCGTTAAAATATCGCTCTCTATTAAATTGTTCCAATATACCGGGCACCATCTATTCGTTCGACAAGTCAATTATCCCTGGTTAGAAAGCTACCACGAGCTCGATCAAAGGAGAGAAATTAATCTATATATTTTGTTCTGTGACCTGGTCACACGAACAGATGGAAAGTACCTGGTATTGCCTTCTGGAGAATTGCACATTCGTGACGTTGGACCCGAGGATGGATACAAGACCTACCAATGCCGAACCAAGCATAGACTGACCGGTGAAACAAGATTATCTGCTACCAAGGGACGTCTCGTCATTACCGGTAAGTGAGAAATATACAGCAATCGATCATTTTCATCTTGATCGAAGTCACGATTCTGATTCCTTCGATCGAGTTTCTCTTTTATATAAATATCTTCAAAGTAACGTACATAAAGGTCTATCAATGTGAATGTTCTTAACTGCATTTTTATTCGAGTGAAAATCAGAATCGTGTCTATAGTTTCGAACCTGGACACGTAAAGATTGCAACGCGTTTTGATAATAAAATCGTTTATTCTATTTATGATGATATCAAAAGATACGGATTGTTTATGCTTGAGCTTCAGTTGTAATAGTTTAGCGGGAGTGGAAAAGATCGCGTGAAACGAGGTCCTTTTTGAAATGTAAATCGTTTCTATGTACCGATTCGTGTCGTACGGTAGACCAATTATTCTTTTATCGAATGAAACGAGGCGTCTGGTAAAAGTTTAGTCCGGGTTCGAAACTGTCCATCGAGGCAATTGATTTCCTGTGAACGAGAGTAAAGTAATACGAGCATTCGATCGCGCAAACTAATTAAACGTTCGGTCCGTTCACTTTTCTTTTTAACATTCACATATTCATGAAAATCAATTGTCCTCGGTTTAAGTAATCACGTCGTTGTACGTGTTGATTTAAACCAACGAGCTCGATCGCATTAACGTTGCGATTAAAATACATCATTTCATTCGAATGAATTTTCGATTGCACGTAAAATGGATATAGATGGAAGAATGAATATTTTGAAAGAGGATCCAGCTCGTTGGTGAACCTGAATGCTGGGACAGGGTACCCCTGCGGGCACGCGCCACCGCCCGCCCATAATTTCACTCTTGGCATGATCGGTTTCGATGAGCATTCGATAAAAATGAAAACGTAAACAAAAGATACAGAGAAATTGAACAGAACGGAACATTGAAAAATTCTTTCGACGCTTTGCGGCGCCCTCACGCGATCTCCGGGCTCTGTCCTTCGCTCTCGCGTGGTAAGTCTAAAAAACGTCACTCTTATTATCTCACACGAGTATTCAAGATTTAGCCATTCAACGGATAGATGCGATGCTCAATGCAGCTGTCAGCATTCAAGCTTACAACCTTTTTTTGAAACTAGTTCGAGACACACAGTATCCTGCCATTTCATTATGGGCGTAATGAAATGACGGGGCACTGTACAGCTTCGTTGGGTGCAGAGCTATTCTATCGAATGAACAATGGGTATGATAGGCAGGTGAATCGAGACGAAAACGATTCTATAATTTCTATAACGACGGGACGAGATACGGTAACGAGAATCATCTTGACGAAAGAGGGTCCGAGCAGGGGACCAACGTGTTCTAAACACTCCACAGTTATAGTGTTTTCTTAAACAGAACCGGTGGGCAGCGTACGACCAAAATTCCCTTCGATGGACAACATAAACGGACTTTCTACGGAATCGAAAAGCAGTTTCCCGCTTCTCTGCCCCGCCCAAGGATTCCCGGTACCGGTTTCTAGGTACGATATCTCTGATCACTGATGCCCGTACCATGTATTGGCACCAGATCAAAAAAGAAGGGAACTTCGGAACAGTGTAGGCGAACCGGAAAAGTCGGGAAAAGGCCGGAAGAGAGTATTAAGTTACTATAATCCGTATTTATGGAGGCCAAAATGGATTTTCTCTCTTCTTAACCGTATTGCTCCAAAAGTATGTTCTTTTTCAAACAAACTGAGATTTGTTCAGAATCGAAACATCGCGTCACGTGGAAAGTTATCAATTTTTATGTTAGCGAGGGAAAACATCAATACATGGAAGTTGATGAAATCCATGACATAATGAAAAAGGGTTGTTGATGAAACAGGGTTGTGTCATCAAACTTTTTTTTCACCAACACAAAGAACGATAGAACTTTCCATGAGAACTGATACTTCAAAAGACTCGTAATCGGATTAACGGTTAGGAACAAGAAGGGTGGCACATGGGACGGCCCTGATCCCTTCAGGGGTTCCCCGTTCCGCACGCAGGTAGACAAAATCATCTAAATCCTTGTCACGGTACTCATAAGATTACTATGTTGAGCATTATTTAACTCTCAAAGAAGCGATAGAAGAAAAAATCATTTAGAAAGGCATAAAATCAAATAAGACTTACCCTTTCTTCGGGAGAGCCATAACGTAACATCTGAATCCTTGTTGCTGTATCCTCCAGAACCCGTTGGCAGTGTTCGTCCAAAAATTCCATCGACGGACGATATTCGTGGATTCAGGACGACGATAAACGGATCTCAGGCTTTGCTATGTCCTGCCCAGGGGTTCCCCGTTCCTTCTAACAGGTAGACAGTTAATTAGAAGAGGAATTTAAAAAAAATCCTACCACCTTATTCTCGGTATTTCGGAAAGCAATGTTGCTGTTTGATTGCATAATCAGAGCCAGTCGGCAGCGTGAGGCCGAAATTCCCGACCATCGACGATTCCAGGAGTTTCCGAACGGTCAAGGATGGCTCTGTCACCCTTCTCTGTCCCGCTCAGGGTTACCCTGCCCTCGTGTCCAAGTAAGTGTCCAGCTCGCGATGGTCGCCTATATTTTCTCTGTCTTTCTTTCGATCTTTTCTGGACACGTCGTCGCAGAACCGGTGGGAAGCGTCCGACCAAAATTCCCCTCCGTGAGCAACATAAATGGGTTGACGGTCGTGACGAATGGGACGCTGCCTCTTCTCTGTCCCGCGCAGGGATTTCCGGTGCCAAGTCATAGGTATGACGTCGAATCAAAATGCTTTGTTCTCAATTCGAAAATATCGACGAAGAAAACTAACGCGAGAATACTATGGGTCATGCCTACTTTACATTAGTAGAGTAGATGGTTAGCTTTACTCGGCAACGAGAAGGCTATATTTAGCTTTCTACCACTTACTTCACCAATGTAAACTAGGCCTTAGGGAAGAATGATTGATTCAAGTCCGTTCAGGGGTTCCCCGTTGCTAGTTCCGATCAGCCGTGTGTTTCCAACTGCGTGAACACGATTTGATAACGCGCAGAGCCAGTCGGCAGTGTGAGACCGAAATTCCCGACCATCGACGATACCAGGGGCTTCCGTACGATGAAAGATGGCTCGGTGACGTTGATGTGCGCCGCCCAAGGGTTCCCTGTCCCCGTCTACAAGTAAGTCGCGTGGTTCGAACGCTAACGAAACGTGGAATAGCCACGGTAAAAAGCTTCATTTTACTTTCGACGACGATTCGCAGAGCCTGTGTCGAGTTCACGACCGAAACACTCCGGTACAATCAACTTGATCGGACTCACGGCGAGGACGAACGGAAGCTTGCCGCTTTTCTGCCCCGCTCAAGGATTCCCCCTTCCGTCTTATAGGTAGGGAACTTGTTGATAAGTTTTCGAGTCGCGAGACACGATTACAGTTGAGGATCTTAGGTTGCTAATTCCTCAGAGCTTCTTATTAGTTTCTAGGATCTTGTGCAAGTGCTAGAAACTTAGCCGCGACAAATGGCTGAACCGTGTAACTGACGTTAATCTACATCCCACCGATTAATGCGTCTTCTTAACGATTCAGAACATCATGCAATTTTCACGAGTGATGAACAAGTTTCTCTCGAATCCCGATGGGTTCCCTGTCCCTGTTTCTCTGTACACCGGGTTACCATCGTTCTTTACTCGCTTCTTTCCTCTGGTAATTCTCGTAGAACCCGTGGGAAGCGTACGGCCCAAGTTTCCGACCATGGATAATTCTCGGGGCTTCATCTCCAGTCTCGAGCACACTCTTACGATGCTGTGCCCTGCTCAAGGATTTCCTGTTCCTTCGCATAGGTGGGATAAGGGTCGAGACATCTTTCTACCGTTTAAGAATCAATGGGACTAAGTTGGACCACCCTGTCCCAGCGTTACCTAAGTAGAACCGATTCAGTGATCACGTCTGTCTGTGTTTCTCACAGAACCCGTGGGCAGTACGAAACCAAAATTCCCGATGACAGAAAACTCGCGTACGTACACGGTTCACCGTGATCAGTCTCTCACTCTGATGTGTCCGGCCCAGGCTTTCCCCGTTCCAGCTTTCAGGTATACAGGAAGGCGCAAAGTGTAATTTATTCGCGGTACAGTTAGATAGAGATGGGAAAGAAAATTCTTGATGTCTCCTGTAGAGCCGGTTGCAAGCACTCGACCGAAATTTCCATCTTTGGCGGATTCGCAGACGTTTAAAGTGGTACTCGGTGGTGCGATGACTCTGCTCTGTCCAGCCCAAGGGTTTCCCGTTCCGTCGTACAGGTAACACGTTCCCATGTCTCTCACTTGGCTCTCCTCTCGCGAATTACGTAATTTTCTCGTTAGAACCAGCATCCAGCACGCGTCCACAAATATCCGGACCGAGCGACCTTCTTCGATTCAGCTCGTCTTCGTTAAAAAGCGTCACCCTTCTGTGCCCAGCTCAAGGATTTCCGGTTCCTCTGTATAGGTAGGCAACCGAAGAGCCGTGTTATTAAAACAATTAAAATTTCTCATAATTTTAATGAATCTCAGATTCGTATGGACGTTCGTTTCAAAGGGAAATCGTTGTCCGTAACATCTGCGAAGTGAACAGATTGCGACCTTGTATGTGCGAAGGGGAGTCCCTATTCCAGCATATTCAAAGACCGCTCCCTGGCTTCCTCTTTAAAAGCACGACCTCCGCACCGTCTCGCGTTCTGTTTTTAGAACCGGCCTCGAGCAGCAAGCCACAGTTTCCATCTGTAAACGACGTCGGATTACGCGTAACGAAAGGCACGGGATTTTCGTTGCTTTGTCCCGCTCAGGCGTTTCCAGTCGCCACCTTTAGGTAGGTCGATATATCCGTCCGCTCTGCTGCCTTCTGGCAGCAAGAAAAATACTCTCTCAACTTCGTTGCTTTCCTCTTTACTTCAGCATCAGCCCTGTCCCAGTATATTAGTCACGCCGACAGAATAGAATCACCGAATTCCGCGCGATTACGTCCCTTTCACCAGGGACATAAAAACGATACCCTGCAACCGTGTTAAGTTTCTTCCCTCGTTTTATGGGATCGGTATCTTCGCTTTTTAAGTACTTTGAGAAATGTACGAGGTGCTTTCGAATACATATAACCGAATCTTGACCAAGTAGATCGAGAAACCCTATTTGTGACATGATATTTTGCCTTTGAAGGTTCGAGTACTACGGTCAGAGCTTGAAGAATTTTTCCGTTTTCTGTAGAACCAGTCGGTTTCGCAAAGCCAAAGTTCTCGACGATCGACAAGAGCCGAACGTTCGAGGTGCCGGAATCTCAAGGCGTTACGTTGCAGTGTCCTGCACAGGCGTATCCTGTCCCAGTGTTCAAGTAAGTCCACGAAGAAGGCGCGTAGGGACGATGATCGCATAGACAACCCCCGGAGACCGTCTTCTCCCTTAAACTTCCGCTCGTTTCTCGTGTGATGCAGAACCGGTGTCGAGTTCGAAACCTAAATTAACCGCCCTGGACGTGAAATCAACAAATCCCAGCACGATGCTGGGTACCATTACCACCCTACTGTGTCCCGTTCAAGGATTTCCTGTGCCAGCATTCAGGTAAACTGATGGATCGCCTTTCCATGCTCGCGGAATGATTTTCCTGCTCGGGGTAGGTACTTTGGAGCAATCTGCTCTCTTCAGAATCAATAAACAGCCAAACTAGCACCTTTTGTTTCGAGATAGAGCCATTCTTCAGTGGTTTGAACAGTTTAATCGATGTTTTCGACCATATTTCGATCGTTCCCACAAAGTATTACCTGTCCCAGTGATTCGAGGTAGGGGGTAACTCGATTCTTCTCTCGTAGAACCCGTGGCCAGCACTAGGCCGAAATTCCCAATGACGGAAAATTCGCGCACCCTAACAACGTACACGGTGGGACGCGATCAGCCTTTGACTTTGCCTTGCCCAGCCCAGGCGTTCCCTGTTCCGGCCTTCAGGTACACGAAAAGCTCACTTTGATCTCGGCCGAGCATCGATTAGACCGAGTGCATCCCCTTGCATGGCAGTGATCAAAGAAGAGCGTAGGAAATTAGGTCGAAGGGTAAAAGGTAGACGGGGTTGGTACACCAATATTTATCTTCTGTTTCTGTCTTCCGTACGAATCGAAGGGATACCCAGTTCCAGCGTGAGGGAAAGAAAAGCAATTCGTAGGTGGAATACGGGTTAACGAGTTTGTTCGTCAGAGCCGGTGTCCAGCGCTAAACCAAAGTTTACGAACGCTGACATAAAGGTGGTGAGACCAACGGCCAGTTCAACCGCGGTGTCGATGACCTGTCCCGCTCAAGGGTTCCCTGTTCCCATCAAACGGTCAGTAATAGCAATGGTGCTTTAATCGATACCTCGGTATCATTCTCAGAGCCTACCTCTAGCGTAAAGCCAAAACTGCCGTACGTTCGTAAAGTCGAGTTTATGGAGGGTAGACGGAACGATGCAGCGAGCTTGACGTGTCCGGTGCAAGGTTACCCTGTTCCACTTTCGAGGTGAGACGAGATATTTAATCGCGGTCGCTCGTTCGACCCTGTGATCGATACGATAACCCGATCCCTGCCGCGATCGGTTTCGCAGCGTGCTTGGCTTTTGCCACGGTTTTCTACGTTAATTTTAATCCATCTCGACCACGCGCCTCCGTGAAACGCTGATCGATCGATATCGTAATTTCGGCACGGCGATGTTGTTCCCAGAACCTGTTGGATTCAAGTCGCCCATTTTCTCCACGGACAATAGCCTTAGTAAGTACGCGAGGCGGGAAGGTACGAGCGTGGTGCTCGCGTGCAGCGCGCAGGGATTCCCCGTGCCAACCACCAGGTAATCTCTCTCGCGTGTCCCGTGGAAATATCGCACGCTCGCGTTAACGCGATCTACCTCTTAGACACGGTTAACACGATTTTCACGATCATCGTCGTTCCAACTCGAGCCATTTTAACTCGCGACTTCCTGGTTCGTCGACGTCGAACTGTTCTGTTCAAAGTTTCGTGTGTTCCGTAGAACCGGTTGGATTCAAGTCGCCAATCTTCTCCAACGATCTTAGCCTTAGCGCGTACGCGAGGCGAAAGGGCATGAGCGTGGTGCTCGCGTGCAACGCTCAGGGATTCCCGGTACCATCCACCAGGTAAATCATTTCTAACATCGAAAAGAAGAGAATAGTAGATTTGAGAACGTTATTCGGGTGAACGAGTCTCGAGCGGAACTATCGTATTTCGTAGAACCGGTCGGATTCAAGTCGCCGATCTTCTCCAGCGACGATAGCCTGAGTAAATACGCGAGACGTCAGG